TTTTATACTGATTTTATATATAAAAAGTGAATTGCGGTATCGGAATTCACTTTTTTATACTGATTTTATATATAAAAAGTGAATTGCGGTATCGGAATTCACTTTTTTATACTGATTTTATATATAAAAAGTGAATTGCGGTATCGGAATTCACTTTTTTATATTGATTTTATATAAAAAAAAGTTAGTTGCGGTATTGCGATTCACCTTTTTGTACGATTTTAATAAAAAAGTGAATCGCACCCTGCGTTACAAATTTATATATATTTGTATGTTTATCATTTGCCATTTTAAGGGGGGTGCGGTGTATAAACTAAAGATCAACATAAACAATTTACAAAAAAGGAAGGATGCGTTGTAACGCAGGGTGCGGTAAATAAATTCACTCTTTTTTTGATATATTAATAAAAATCCTGAAAATTTTCAGGTTTCAGTTCAGGTCAGGTCAAACAGATAACCTGATATAACCTGACCTGACCTGACCCATTCGGAACTCTAATTATAATTATGATTGTAGAATTGTAGATTAGCAATATTTATTTATAATTTAAATAAATGTTAATAATAATAATAATATAATTACAAAGTTTTTGAGCATTTTATAAATACAATACATTTAATAAATTTGATAATAAAAATTGAAATAAAGGAACACCTAGACTTAATATTTTTTTGTAGGTGCTTGTAATTGGTGTTTATTAAGATGTTTTCATAAAGTACTAACACTTGTTGTTATTTTATATCTATATGAACATTTTTACAGATATTATAGCCTAGTGCGTATGATGAATTTTTATTAAAGTATAACCATATGGTACTTCTTAACGTATTTAATATGTCCAAATTACTAAATTCTGAACAAATTTGCTCCTTAAAACCTTCCCACTCTTCAGTGTCATATTCTTCTAGATTTTCTTGGTCAGGATTAAATTCTTCGTCGCTTAACATTCTTTCAGAATGTCTATTCCAAAAAGAGAATATTATTTTTAGATCATCAGTATTTATTTATAAGTAATTCAGTTATCGGCTATTACATAAGGAAAGTAAATTCTTTTTTTAGGTTAATCTAAAGATATTAGCCGTAATTCAAAAAAGTGTCGTAATACAAAATTTTTATATGCCGTAATTAATTAAGGCTATAAAAATCTTATAGCCGTAATTCAAAATTTTTTAAAAAATAATTAAAGCTAACATCTTTAGGTTAATCATCACATTGTTTATATTATAAATATATACTGTATTATCAATTTTTACTTTTTTGTGAATTATGATCCAGAATTTTGTTATAGTTAAAATTCAATCTTCATGATAAAATCAATTTTTCACAGATAATTTCGTTTATATTTTTATTAGATATTTTTATATAATTTTTGTACTGTTTGTACGTATACTTTTCGTCAAAATGACAAAATACTAATTAAATTTATTTTGACAGACGTAATGTATTTTGACAGACGTAATTAATTCATAGTAATTTTATAATAAATAGTGAATTAGTCCGTTCGCCGAAATATGACGTAATTAATTAGCGGAGAAGTATATTTGTACGTATGATAGAATTAATTTCATAAATTAAGTTCAAATACTCAAATGTTTTTATAAATTATTTAAAATTATTTATTTAGAGTTATATTTATTAATAACGAATACATATAAAAATATATAGCAAAA